CGTCGACAAGGTTCCCCCACCTGCGGCGAACATCGTCAGTGGCATGTGGATTTTTAGGGTGAAGCAGCCGCCGGGTTCTCCGCCTGTCTTCAAGGCTCCTTACGTTGCTCGAGGCTTCAGTCAGCGAGAGGGAGTAGACTTCTTTCAGACCTTCTCCCCCACCCCGAAGATGACCACTCTTCGGGTACAACTCCACGTTGCTGCTCAGCGTGACTACGAGCTTCACTCTCTTGACTTTAGCACAGCTTTCTTGCAGGGCAGTCTACACGAGGAGATCTGGCTGCGCCGCCCTCGTGGCTTCACTGGGTCGTTTCCGCTTGATACCCAGTGGAGCCTCCGGCAGCCGGTCTTCGGTCTCCGCCAGGCACCAGGTGAGTGGCACGACACACTGAGGACTACTCTTGCGGCACTTGGGTTTGCTCTGTCTACTGCTGACACGTCGCTGTTTCTACGCACCAACACTTCGCTGCCGCCGTTCTACATCCTCGTGTACGTCGACGACTTGGTCTTTGCCACTGCTGACACTGCTGGACTCGCCCACGTGAAGTCCGAGCTGCAGAAGAGACACACGTGCACAGACATGGGTGAACTGCGCAGCTACCTTGGCTTGCGGATCACCCGGGACAGAGCACGCCGCACCATTACCCTGACTCAGTCACACATGGTGCAGCAGGTCTTTCAGCGCTTCGGCTTCACCTAGTCCTCAGCATAGGTCACTCCTCTGGCTGTAGGTCACTCGCTCTCAGCTCTGCCTTCGGATGAGTCTGTAGAGTCGAGTGGTCCTTACCCAGAGCTAGTTGGTTGCCTCATGTACCTGATGACTTGCACTTGTCCTGACCTAGCATACCCTCTTGGCCTTCTGGCCCGCTACGTGGCTCCTGGCAGGCACCGAAAGGTGCACTGGGATGCTGCTAAGAGGGTCTCGCGCTACTTGTGCAGTACATCGGGCATGGGGCTCGTGCTTGGAGGAGGGAGCTCAGTTGTTCTCACTGGGCACTCAGACGCTTCTTGGGTTGATGACCAGGCTACTCAGCGGTCATCACAGGGTTACACCTTCAGCAATGGCTCTGGCTCAGTTTCGTGGCGCTCTATGCGTTTGTCTTTTGTTCTCAGCTCCAGTTGTGAGGCTGAGATCTACGCCACAGCCATGGCTGCACAGGAGTTACGCTGGCTCACCTACCTGCTGACCGACCTGGGAGAGCGGCCTAGTTCTCCTCCAGTGATGTACGTCGACAACAAGGCTGCCATTGCCTTGTGTGAGGAGCACAGACTGGAGCATAGAACGAAGCATATCGCTCTCCGTTACTTCCTTGCTCGAGAGCTGCAGCAGCGCGGTCAGCTTCGTCTGCGTTACGTGGCCTCTCAGGCCAACACTGCTGATATATTCACCAAGGCACTTCAGCCTGGTGATCATCAGCGCTTCTGCACTTTGCTGGGGCTGGTGCCCACTTTTCCTCACTTTTTGTAGGCTTTACCTGTAGTGTGATCTCTATATATATACTCCTGCCTGTCTGCTCTGCTAGGTTGAGATCACCCTTGTTGTTTGTGCTGCATATATACTTCTGCATGTGAACTGGCCATGTGGCCCTTTGCTTGTGCTCGGAATGTGTGGTGACGTTGTGATCCACCCTGAGCTTGCTTGCCTCTCTTGACTGGTCTTGTGACCCCTTGCTCTTCCCCACTTTGTCTATGGGGGTGTGTCAAACACTATATGTGTTATTGTTGTGTACATCACAAAAACCCTATGCCAAGTTTGGTCGAATTTTGATTTCGATTGTCTTCGCGTAAAAAAATCCGTAGCCAATTTGGACCGACGGTTGGAGTCATTTGATAGGAGCTCCGAGACACATCTCGCGACAAGGCTTGGCTCGGTTCAAGTTCCAATTTGGCACGCGAGCTTTTCCGGATGACATTCCGACGCAATCCGTTTTGTTGCAAATTCGTGACCAATTTATTCAATACTAAATTCTGTTTTTGTTCATTTTGGATTTTGGGGATTTCAAAATTGCATTTATTATTGCGGTTTACAAGAACCATTATTCAGCATGCTAGCAACAATCAGTCTTAGCACCAGGTCAATTAGCCTACGCATTGGCGGGCCTTGAAAGCGCCCGGTGGGCAAGGACGACATCTCCAAGGTCGCCGTCGTCGATGAGGAACTTGTTCGGAAAGACGAACGCACCCATAGCCGGATCGTGGGGGATCCTCCGCTCCACGACAGCAAAATGGATCATCTGTTTGACCTTTTCGCACCACTCCTGGTAGTCTGGCCTGTTCTGCTCTGGCTGGCTACTGATTCGCTTGCGACGCTTATCCTGCAGAAGGGGCCATTCGATCTGCAATGTGGTGTAGTAGGGTTGGGTGGGTGGTTTATGAGGAGGGTAGGTTACGGGTAAATGAGGCAACTGAAAGCGGTGATGCAGTCGTCACTATCTACGTAACTGCAAAGGCCTAATCGACCAGGGATTAGGGTTGAAGTACAGGCAAGGGGTTAAGGGGATGAGGCATGGGGGTACAAACACATATCTACATCCTTACCGAAAACAGGCCCCATGCCACCATGCGGCTCTTGAACTTGGTGAGCACCGCCCCGCCCCTCTTGAAGGAGATCTTGAACGCATAAGCGAACAAGGGGTTGCTGAAGGGCGTCCCGGTGGCCTTGTCAAAGTGCCAGTTGAGGGCCCACTGTTCTGTTTTTTGGCAGGGAGGGTATGGGTTGGAAAGGGTTTTGTAGAGAAATCAAGTGGGGGGATGAGTGTCAGGGTGAGCCACATCGCACGGTGATATGTAGCTGCCAACTGGCATATGGTAGGGCATATTGTGTTTTCGAGTTGCACATACCATCTCTGTACTCGGCTAGGAGTTGAACGTCATCGAACCAGGTCGTTGGGTGTAGCTCAGTGGGCAGGCTATCCACGAGATGGCTGTAATCAGCAAGGCCCATGCCGGTGTATGTTGCTGGCCTGAGGGTGGAGTTGATAGTTGACCTTGTTGAGGACAGCTGGTGGTTGAAGACTCCCATGGTTGACTTGTCATTGTGCAACCACAGCAGCTTCATTGCCTCGAGCCCTTCTGCAGACAAGTGGACAGAGAACGCTTCGAACACTTCCTCCGGTGCAGGGTAGTACTGTATTTTCTCAGGCGGGTTCAGAAACATGAGCTGAGAGCACACTAAGTAGGCTTTGTTCTGCGCAGTGGTGTAAGGTATACAACACGACATGGGAGAGAGAAACCAGCAGTTATGTGGGTGGCCGCGTGACCATGGGATTGTGACTAGCAACACTGTGTGAACTTGCCACGTCACACCCTGCGCCATCCGACACGTCCACCAACAACCCGGCCCATTCTGCCACGTCACACCTCTCTACCACAAGCCACGTCACCCCCCACCCACCTGACACGCCTCGCTTCGTCATGCGCAGTTGTCACGTGTACCTTTTCTAACCGCCACGTCATCCCCAACCCTCACATGCTGCCACGTCACACCCACCTGCATCCGCCACGTCATCCCCAACCCTCACCTTCCGCCACGTCAGACCCTCCTGCATCCGCCACGTCCACCAACCAGCCCCACGTGCCACATCACACCCTCCTGCATCCGCCACGTCCACCAACAACCAGCCCCACGTGCCACGTCACACCCTCCCATCCCATGCCACGTCACCCCCCCACCCACCTGACACGCGTCGCCTCGTCAGTGGCCGCTCCTGTGTACCATTCCAAACCGCCACGTCAGCCCCAACCCTCACATGCTGCCACGTCACACCCTTTTGCATCCGCCAACAACCCGCCCTACTTGCCACGTCACACCCCCACCAAGGGCGACGTCACCCCCCACCCACCTGAAACGCCTCGCTTCGTCATGCGCCGCTCACGTGTACCCTTGTAGGGTGCCACGTCATCCCCAACCCTCACCTTCCCCCACGTCACACCCACCTGCATCCGCCACGTCATCCCCAACCCTCACCTTCCGCCACGTCACACCCTCCTGCATCCGCCACGTCCACCAACCAGCCCCACGTGCCACGTCACACCCTCCTGCATCCGCCACGTCTACCAACAACCAGCCCCACGTGCCACGTCACACCCTCCCATCCCATGCCACGTCACCCCCCCACCCACCTGACACGCGTCGCCTCGTCAGTGGCCGCTCCTGTGTACCATTCCAAACCGCCACGTCAGGCCCAACCCTCACATGCCGCCATGCCACACCCTTTTGCATCCGCCAACAACCCGCCCTACTTGCCACGTCACACCCCCACCAAGAGCGACGTCACCCCCCACCCACCTGAAACGCCTCGCTTTGTCATGCGCCGCTCACGTGTACCCTTGTAGGGTGCCACGTCATCCCCAACCCTCACCTTCCCCCACGTCACACCCACCTGCATCCGCCACGTCTTCCCCAACCCTCACCTTCCGCCACGTCACACCCTCCTGCATCCGCCACGTCCACCAACAACCAGCCCCACGTGCCACATCACACCCTCCTGCATCCGCCACGTCCACCAACAACCAGCCCCACGTGCCACGTCACACCCTCCCACCCCATGCCACGTCACCCCCCACCCACCTCTCACGCGTCGCCTCGTTACGCGCGGCTCCTGTGTACCATTCCAAACCACCACGACAGCCCCAACCCTCCCATTCTGCCACGCCACACCCTTTTGCATCTGCCAACAACCCGCCCTACTTGCCACGTCACACCCCCCACCAAGAGCCACGTCACCCCCCACCCACCTGAAACGCCTCGCTCCGTCATGCGGCACTCCCTTGCACCCTTTCACACCGCCACGTCATATCCCAACCCTCACCTTTTGCCATGTCACACGCACTTGCATCCGCCACGTTCACCGACAACCCGCCCCACTTGCCACGTCACACCCACCCACCCCATGCCACGTCACCCCCCACCCACCTGATACGCGTCGCCTCGTCACGCGCCGCTCCCGTGTTCCCTTCGAACCCGCCACGTCAGCCCCAACCCCGACCTTGTTGCCACGTCAACCCCAACCCGCCCCATTTGGCCCGCCACATACCGGGAATGGGTTTGTCTCCTGCAACACTAGCACTCGTGCCTTGTCCACGGCGCTCATCGGCGGCGGGGTACCAGCCATAGGCAGGGCTGCCGACCCGCCGGCATAGCTGGCAGGTACTCCACGACGCAGGCCGAGCTGTGCAAACATGGCGTACATCTCAGACCGCGGCGCCTGGAACTCCTCCCGTGTAACAAACTGCTCGTGCTCCTCACTTTCACCTAGGGCACCCATGAGCGGAGGAAAAGGGTGTGAAGAATCCCCCCTCTGGCCAAGGGTATCAACGTCTTCTGCAGCAGTCCCGTGTGCCCTCACACTATCACGCTGGCGGGAAAAGGGGAGCTCAGGGAAGGGATTGGCATAAGTGCCTGCCTGATGCCCGCGCGAAGGACCGGCGATGGGGGAGACCGCCCTGCCCCGGACAGGAGAAGCGTGGAGTTGCCGAAATGGGTACGAGGGTGAGGCGAGTGAGGAGTGCGTGACGGGGACGGGTGGAGGGGATTCGGATTCCTCTCCTCTTGGCGCGCCGGGTGCCGTCGCAGCGACTTTGCTGGGGCCGGCCCATGGCGTGTAGAACCTTGGTGCGCCGGACGAGAGCGGTGTAACACTCGCTATTCCGGCAGCCTTCGTTAGATGCATTCGTTGCACGCTTAAGGGCGGCCCAATGCCTGTAACGCGAGGGGCTGAGATGTAGAGGGAGTGGGAAAATAAAAATTGGAGTCGATCGGTTTCAAGGCGGGGCCAGACATGCATGCATATTCAGAAAGGTTTGAATCTAGATCGGGTTTAGGGTTGTACTGGTTTGAGACAAGAGGGTTTACCTTGCTTGGCAGATTCGTCAACCTTCTCCTTCCCTGCAGGAGAGAAACAATGTGAATAAAGGGTGTTATTTGGGACGGTTTAGCAGATTGTTTAACACGTCACGCCAGTTGTATTGGACACAATGCTCACCTTTCTGTTGTCCCTTCGGTTTTGGGGCAGCCTGCGCCTTCTCGTTGCCACCTTTCCACGGGGTGCTTCGGCGCACGCTGCGACGTTTACCGGCAGGTTCCTTCTTGCCGGTACCCACTCGAACCCCTTTGGCGCGGCCACCCTTTCCTCCTCCATCCCCTTTTGCACCCTGGCTCCCTTGCTTTTTACCAACCCCTTCACTTTCGACCTTCACCTTACGCGCCTTCGGTTTGCCCGCTGCTTCGCCGCGCGCAGCGTCACCTGCCCCGCGTTTTCGGGAAGGGCGAGTCCGGCCCCCCTCCTTCCCTGTCCCACTCACCCGACCGCCACGCCCGCCCCGTCTCTTCCCTGGCGCCACATCCTCCTCCTCCTCCTCCTCCTCCTCCTCCTCCTCCTCCTCCTCCTCCTCCTCCTCCTCCTCCTCCTCGTCACCCTGCTGCTCCTCCTCATCCCCCTCCTCCTCCTCCTCCTCCTCCTCCTCCTCCTCCTCCTCCTCCTCCTCCTCCTCCTCTTCGTCCTCCCCGCCATCATTCTCATCTTTAGCATCCTCCCCAACATCCGCGTCTTGCTCCTCCGCTTCCTCTTCATCCTCCTCTCCCTCCGCATCCTCCTCCTCATCCTCCTCCTCCTCCGTATCACCGGGGTCTTCATCGCCCCGTTTCGGCCTCGTTCCTGTCGCTGCTTTCTTGCCTCTCCTTCCGCCAGATGCTTTTCTTGCTGCGGGGCGGCCCTTCTGGCGCAATGCTTGACCGCCCGCCTTGCCACTAGCTTCCTTGGCGCCTCGCGGTGTGTCAACTTCCGCGCCTCCGGCGTTGTCAGCACTACCTGTCGTCTGGCGCCTCTTCGCCCGCGTGGTGAGGTCCCCGGGCACGGCGGTGTCATCATCCTCCTCCCCATCGCTCTTCCTTTGCCTACGCCTTCCCCGTCCACCAGAAGGAGGAGAGCCACCGACCAGCCCCACCGACTCGTGCTGTGCCACCTTGTCCTTATCCAGCACGGCTGCAGAAACTTCGACCACGCTCGGCTGGAGCAGCGTCAGATGGTGTTGCGTTGCCGCCTCCTCGGACTCCTTGGTTGTGGCATGCTCGGCGCGAGGATCGCCTCCGTGATTTCCCCCTGTCGCCGAACCCTCCATCTCCGCCGACGGGAGTGCAAGACTCGCGCTCCCTCGCCCCGGATCTTCGTTGCCGCCAGTGGTGCCGTCTTTACTCGGACCGGGCTCGGTTCCAGCAGAGGCACCATCCGCAGCTTTGTTCACTGTAGAAACACGCTTGCGTGGCGTTGGTTTAGGCCCCTTGTCTGCCGCTTTCTTGCCGGCCTCCTGTTGACCGCGCGCGACCTTTTTTGCCGCCGCTTTTTTCGGCCCAATGCCACGAGCGACGGACGCATTGTTTTTTTTAGCGCCGCCACCACTCTCCCTATCGATTTGTTTAGACGTCCCCCTTGTCGCGCGGCGGCCGGCCTGTTCCTCCTCCATTGCTTGGTTACGTGTTGCACGTGTCATGGTAATCGTAGGAAGAGCAAAGTTGCAAATCGCGCGGAAGGGTTGAGCCGGTTTCGAAAGGGTTTTGCTACTGAATCCCACGAAGGCATAATCGGCCGTCTATCACTGTTATGTGTTTACGAAAACAGCCGCTTCAACTAAGTCTGAAATAGTAGCCACTATGCTTCGCGCTAAGGCCGATCTGGAGAGGCGTGTGTCAAGGCAACGAGCAGCGTCAAAGTGTTGGCCCAGGGAGTGACGGAAGCAGGTGGGTGGGGCACGAGGGTGGTTGGGGTGAGTTGCGAGACTAGAGAGAGAAATGTAACCCTATCAGGCTACATTGGACGGTGTACGTGTAGCCACCCTAGCATAAACCCACCTTCCGCTCGATCTCAGCCGCCCAATGGCTGAAGTACCTCTTGGCTGATGACTGTGTTGCGGGGGGAATCGTTTGAGATGCGTCGGCCAATGACGGTTGCCAACACATCAATCACAACAAAGGGTAAACCTGGTGTGAAACCTACAGTGCGAAATTAGTCAAATCCCTGCAAAGTACAGTGTTTTCGGTTGCAAAGTAACAACGCATTTCATCAAACTCTAAGTTGCAACTGGTTTTGTACGGGGTTGGGGTAAGTTAATCGGTGATTCTCACGTCACACACACAACGACCGTCTTGAATTATTACTTAGGAAAGATGTACTGCGCACTTTTAGGCTTTGCCACAATGGTTTAGGGCCAGCGGACGTCATTCTAACACGATTATCAATAATAACAAACGTGAATCCGTTGTGGTATGGTGTTGGATTGTCATCCATTCTTGCACAGACATTACACAAGGTGCTTAGAAGGAGTGGTATGAAGCACAGGCCCAACGCACAAGCGCAGATGCGTTATCGACAGTCATGTTTAGACTGTGCGACGATGCATCGTTCAGGCCTCCGCGTTGCGCGACTTGGTGAATCCGTTGTGGTATGGTGTTGGATTGTCATCCATTCTTGCACGGACATTACACAAGGTGCTTAGAAGGGGTGGTATGAAGCGCAGGCCCAACGCACAAGCGTAGATGCGTTATCGACAGCCATGTTTAGACTGTGCGACGATGCATCGTTCAGGCCTCCGCGTTGCGCGACTTGGTGAATCCGTTGTGGTATGGTGTTGGATTGTCATCCATTCTTGCACAGACATTACACAAGGTGCTTAGAAGGAGTGGTATGAAGCGCAGGCCCAACGCACAAGCGTAGATGCGTTATCGACAGCCATGTTTAGACTGTGCGACGATGCATCGTTCAGGCCTCCGCGTTGCGCGACTTGGTGAATCCGTTGTGGTATGGTGTTGGATTGTCATCCATTCTTGCGCAGACATTACACAAGGTGCTTAGAAGGAGTGGTATGAAGCGCAGGCCCAACGCACAAGCGTAGATGCGTTATCGACAGCCATGTTTAGACTGTGCAACGATGCATCGTTCAGGCCTCCGCGTTGCGCGACTTGGTGAATCCGTTGTGGTATGGTGTTGGATTGTCATCCATTCTTGCACAGACATTACACAAGGTGCTTAGAAGGAGTGGTATGAAGCACAGGCCCAACGCACAAGCGTAGATGCGTTATCGACAGCCATCCATTCTTGGATATTCGTTCTTCACGGTGCGGCACGATATATGTATTTGCTCCAAGCACCAATCATACGTTACGGCATGGAGTTACCGGGTAGTTCCCGTATCGTTATCGAGTAAGGATTGTTCAAGAACAGTCCCAAGGATATGAATGTTTACTATTTATGAATGATACGAGTTTCTTGTTAAGTTGTAACTGTACATATGCATTTCCAGGTTTGTTTGACGCCTCTGTAGCTCACCTACGTAATTCCGATTTTGAGGCTATATCGATTCGCGACACAATCAGAGATCCAAACGGATCTCTTCCCGCTCTTCCTCATCCTCCTCGACTCTCACGCACAGTTCATAAACACTTGTTCTAGACTCAATAGGCACGTCCTTCTCGCCTTGCTTGCGAATCCACACACGACCATGAGACTTAAGATCCAGTGCATCTCCCCTGGCCACGTCGTGGTCGCTGTAAACGGGGGCGACTCGCCTTGTAGGGAAGACGGCCCGTGCTATGGGCGGTCTGTATCGTGCCTGGTAACGACCACGCGGCTCGACAACGTTAGCCAGTCATATACATTAGCGCGTGCGTCAAGTGCCAGTCGTGCAGTGATACAAGCCGCCCACCACAGTGCGCCCATTGGCGATGATCGTGTAGCTGTCACAGACTTCTTGAACGGGGTAGTTAATGCGTTCACAAGCTTCATCACGGGTAGTAGCTTCATAGGCCAGGTCTCGACTCTACAACGGATCCGTAACTGATGGGCTCTTTACCAGGCGTCGTTTGCGAGTTCTGCAACAGATGGTTCCCCAACGCCCAAGTTTATGGCGGTCATAAGTCACGGCGGACCCCTTGCCAAGGACTATCCGCCGTGGCGAGGCCCACGCGATCTGCACCGACCGCCGGTCTTCACGCTTTGCTATTCGTCCACGACATTCTGTCGGACGCTCCAGCCGCTCCCGGTTCACCTACAGCGTCTAACGCATCCAACGCCGTCAGTGTGAGCCGACCTCCACGCGTTCCTGATGCTCACGTTGACGAAACTCCCAACGACGTGAACGAGGGGCCTCCTGAAGATGAACATCAACCACGGCATGGAGCTCCTGCGGCTGAGACGACTGACCATCCTGAGAGCCGGCCCGAAGGGAGTCATGCCGCGTCGCCAACCGTCATCTCCGGACAGAGCAATGCCATGCCCCTCAATCCGCTCGCGTTGAAGCTACTGCATTTCGTCCGGCGCGTGAATGGCGGAATGGGAATGGCCGAGGTTGACATCAACGGCCTGCTTCAGCTAGTCGTAGAGCCCGGCCTTGCGCCTCTTGTGAACTCGGAGCTCCGGAACTGTAAGGATCTGGAGCGGTTCGAGTTGGAGCGCTTGGCAGGGCTCAATCGCGGATGGTCGGTGGCGACCTTCGAGATTGACGGTCATCCACCACAGCGCTTGCTCTTCCAGAACTCAGCCCAGGTAAGCCGACTTTGCATTCAAGGCCGTGAAATGATGATGAGGCACACAGGGTTTGCATGTACTTAGTTATCCTTGTATTAACCGTACACCCACCTTCTCCGCCACGAACCATGCCTCTCCTCTCACCTGCTTTCGCCACCGTACACCAGGCATTCGCTGAAATGTTTGGACATCCCAACAACGCGCCCGGCTTCAAGCTCAAGGCGCGTGTAGATGAGGACCCTGACGCAGGCGGCCGTCGCTATACCACGCCCGAAACAGGAACGTGGTGGAATGATGCTCAGGTAAGGAAAGACCACGTTGCCACCCCAAACCCAATCCTGAGTCATGCATCCATCGCAGCACTGATCTCTCAAGAGCATCTTGAGTGTTAAACCGTGTGTCCGTTGCCGCTTTGTCGTGCACTGCAGGAACACTTCGGTTGGTCCGAAGTTGTGGGGGGGGTCATCTTATATTCGGATGTGACGCACATGAGCAACAACGGCCGGAAAAAGGCGTGGCCGCTCATGATGACGCTAGCGAACATCGCCTAGGCCAAGCGATGGGGGAAAGCCGGTCACACACTACTTGCCCTCCTTCCAATCCCCCCATCTGCATGGTCTGCCGTGGAGAAGGTGATGCTCTTCCAGCGTTGCGTCATCACCGTGCTGCAGCCGCTTCTTGATGGCATCGCCAGGTCCGTACTCGGTTTGCATCTTGCTAAGACATCATCTCACCACCTGCATGGTAAGCAAACCCTCTCTGTATGTAGCATGGCCCTTTGCCCCTCGTCGTTCCTCCCTAAAAGCCGCAACCTTGAATGCCTCTTGCCACTCACTCCATTCCTTGCAGCGGGTTCCGTCTCAGGGACCCTTTCGGAGATTGGCAAACCGTGCGGCCCCTGCTGTACGCCTGGGTGTGCGACTACCCCGAGAGCGGCAAAATCAGTTGCACACTCTCGCATGGATCGCGGATGCCGTGCAGCATCTGCTATGCTGCAAAGGTGAGGTCACATGCCATCTGCACGCATTCAATTACATTCCCGTTTGTGGCTCGCCTGAGCGAACCCACATAGCTACCACCCTTACCTTTTCTATCCCATCCCTCGGCCCCGTGCTACAACAGGAGCATCTGAGTGCTGTCAAGGCACGGAACACGCCGCGCACGCCTGAACAGCAGCAATGGATCGTTAACGAGGCGGCGGGGACGACAACTAGCCAGGACAACCCGTGCAAGGCCTACTCTACCTACCCTGTTGAGGTGAGTGACCTGTTTCCCCGGCCCATGAGTAGTCTATGCTCTTGCCCGCCCCGTCATGAATTGCCAGATGTGCTCTGCCCCATTGAACTCACCCGACTTGTGGTTTAGATTACCTATCCACTCTCACGTACATCTCTCCTCCATTCCCCACCACATCCCCATTTCCAGTGCGTGCTCTGGAAGTGGGATGTCCCAGGGACCGCGTGGGGCAATCCCTACCTCGTGGTGATGCCTGACATCATGCACCAGGCGGACCTAGGCATCATGAGCCACATTGTGGCTGTCGTGCGCAAGATGAAGAAGCGGCGTGTGAAGCAGATGGACTGGTCAGTGTTTTGGGGATTG